TGTGCTAGGTGATTTCAACTTATGCAAGATAAATTGGTCTGCTAGTATTTCTAATTATAGTCTTACACCAACTAACGTGTCTGCAAATCATGAATTATATTTTATTGATAATATTCTTAGTCTTAATTTATGTCAAGTTAAAAATTTCGTTAATTCTCTGAATAGAATTTTGGATCTCATATTTGTAAGTGATAACCTAAGCTACAAAGTTAGTGAATGTTTGAATCCAGTAACTCCTAAAGATAAGCATCATTTACCTTTAGTTGTAAAACTCGATTTTTACTGTTTTGCTTCAGTACCTTCTGATGACATATTATCTTTTAATTATGCATTATGCGCTTTTTCTAGCTTTAATGAATTACTACTCGATCTTAATTGGGATAATTTATTTGCAGATCTTGATACATTTAGCAGTTTCACTACTTTTAAATCCATTTTGTGTAAACTCTGCTTGGATAATATTCCGGTTAGAAAGAAAAAACCCTATAGATTACCCTGGTATTCTAAGGATTTAAAAAAGCTTAAAAATCTTAAAAACAATTATTTTAAGAAGTTTAAATCTACGAAGAACCATTCGTTTTTCGTTAAATATAAACGAGCTTTAAAAAATTTCAACTACTTAAATAAATCTCTTTATAATAACTACATTTGTAGCATGGAGTTGAACATTAAATCGAATCCTAAGACTTTCTGGAATTACATACAATCCAAAAGGAGCTGCGCTAGTGTTCCCACCGGCGTATTTTTAGATAATAATTGTGCGCAAACCTCAAGTGAAGCGGTAAATTTATTTGCTGAGTTTTTTAAATACAATTTTGTTGATGAAGACCATGATCAGCCACGCGACTTTTCCTCTAATCTAGACTACTCTTTGGACCTCGGGGCTCTATGCCTTTCATCTGAGGATATTAGTAACGCTTTGGTTAAATTGAAATCTTCCTCCCAAACTGATGTCGATGGTCTTTCAGCAGTTCTAATAAAAAATTGTCCTGCTTTGGTCTATCCTCTGAAAGTAATTTTTAACAAATCTTTATCGTCGGGGGGTTTCATTGACGCATGGAACCTCACTTCCATAACGCCCATCTTTAAGAGTGGCAATAATAATGACGTAAGGAATTATAGGCCCATTTCTAAGCTCTCGACTATCTCAAAAATATTTGAACACGCAATCAATCCAAAGTTGAGCTTTGCGGTTAAATCTTTAATTATAATAATTATAATTTAATAATTAATCTAGCTGTTTTCAGTGAATACTTCATTGAGTCTTTCTCGGCTGGTTTTCAGGTCGACGGCATTTACACCGACTTTTCGAAGGCTTTCGATAAAGTCTCTCACAGAGTCTTAATTAAAAAACTTGGTTGTCTTGGTGTNACTTTTGATAAAGTCTCTCACAGAGTCTTAATTAAAAACTTGGTTGTCTTGGTGTTCACTCGAAAATATCCAACATTATACCTGCTACGTACAATATATCGACTTGTGACCTTCAGTGTGTTAGTGAGATTAAGGACCTTGGCGTCATTTTTGATAATAAATTCTCTTTTAATAACCACATAAAGTATATCACTTCCAAATCCTTCTCCATGTTGGGTTTCGTAAGACGGAATGCCTCTAAGTTCTCTGATCCCTATACAATCAAGTTACTCTATGTATCGTTTGTTAGATCACACTTAGAATATGCTGCTTTTGTTTGGAGACCAAGTAGACAGCAAGCTATCAATAGAATAGAACCTGTACAAAAAATTTTTCTTAAGTTTGCACTTCGGTCTTTGAACTTTGTGGATCCCATACCATCCTATTCTGCTCGTCTCATGCTTATAAGTCTCAAGTCCTTAGAAATTCGTAGGTCTATACTGTGCCTGTCCTTTACTCGTAATATCATAACTGGAGTCATTGATTGTCCTTACTTGTTGGAAAGGATTCGATTTAATGTTCCCCAGCGATCTCTTCGGAACTTCTATCCTTTTTATGTGGATAACTATACAACTAAGTACGCCAGTAATGCCCCCATTACTCGCGCTTTGCGTGAATTGAATTCCCTTAATAGTAATGCTGATCTGGATTTTCCACTTTCAAGGATTGCTTTTTTGAATCTTTTGAGCTCTATATTATAGTTTTTTAATGAAATATATTTTAAATGTATATTAATAGTCTGTACTAAGTTACTTTTGTAAAATAGTCTGTAAGGATTGAAATTCATAGACTTAAATAAATAAATAAATAAATCGTTATGAGAGAGTGAGCAGGGATGTACCACCAAGAATATACAACAAAAGGATGAAAGTCTTTAGAACTTGGAAATATAGCGATGGCTGAATTAAAAAGTGTTACACCATGTTAAATTTTTGCTCGTCACTGTACACTTTTTTTCGAATGGTGCCAACCCTATCCAAATTCTTTTCCGAATTAATTTTTTTATACGTTCTCATTGAAATAGCATTATTGCGGCTTATTTATAATACATTTTTTTCTGATATTGCAGATATCTGACAACACCATTTTTCCAATTTTCTCTTTACAAACCTGCTACAGATAGAAAGACACAAAATGAAATAAAAACGAAGCAAATCCGTTGAGTCGTTCTTGAGTTATGCGATAACACACGAACAGCAATTAATTTTTATATATAAAGATATTAATAAATATGAATCAGTGAAAAGTCATCACTAAAAATCCAAACTTACCAAGATTTAACAAACAATATACTGGAAAAAATTGTACGAAGGATGCACAACTGCATGCGAATCATAAAAAATGCAATACATACATACATACATGCATTTTTCAAATTGAGGGGTTGACATTTTTTTTCGTTCCGATATTGGATGCTTTGATTTTTCCCCAGCTTTTAGGCCCTCAAAGGATGGTGACTGGCTTGTTTGACTTGTCTGTAAAGTTCGATGAGAAGATGGCGACTGCATATTCCAACGGTGGGCAAACGCGGCTCTTTGCTTAGCAAAGTGCTGCTCTTTTTGCTTAGAACATTTTGGCTCTTTTTAACCGACTTCCAAAAAAGGAGGAGGTTATCAGTTCGTCGGAATTTTCTTATTTTTTTATTTATTTATTTTTTTTATGTATGTTACCGCATAACTTTGGACCACGTCAACCGATTTCGATAAGGTAGTGTCTCAGAGGTGGTCCCATACTAATCTGGTTGAGATCCGATCAGTGGATCATGAGATATATATATATATATATTTTTTTTTATATGGGAGTTGAAGTCGGTTTTTTTTGCTAGCAATTACTTGTTACTTTTCAAAATACATATTTCTGGACATTCTTTTCCATTGTGTTGTTTTTTACTTTATTCTTTTATATATGATGAATGATGATATGAGAATGAAAGTTGGTTTTCTGACTTAGGGCCCTTTTCTCGTCTAAGCTTTAGATTACCGGCCACTTCATCGCCTCGATATACGAGTTTTCGTTTCCTCATCAGCGCAGTAATTTCTCGAATCAACCGATGTAGCCTTTAAAAATTTGTAACCAACTTTAAATTTTGGTTTGGTTTAGGTTCGTGGGTCAGATATTAGATATTTCAACCAAGGTTTTGGTTTTTGCTAACAGTGGCTCTTGCTCTTTATTTGATTATGTTGCATTGCCAACCTTTGAAATTTTATGACGAATGTAGTGAAGTTTCACTTTCGCTTTGCCGAAATTTCGGAATAACAAATTTATTTTTACCGGTAAGATAAGAAAACGAAAATACGTATAAAGCACTTTAAAGTGAGGAACAATTTATCTGCCCTGTTAGTAAAGGCAACTTTACTGCTTACATTAGAAAACGGCCGTTAGTGTTCTTTACCGATATGATTACGGTGACCATCCATCCTGTATTATACGGGAAAGTCCTTTTTTTCGTCCTTGGTCCTGGTAATTTATTTATTTCATACGGGACGCCAAATGTTCTGTATTTCTTCTAATATCCGGTATTTGTCCCGTATTCGGTACTTTGGCGACTT